CTTATGACAAAACCGGAAATGCAGCTCTCAAAAGTACTCTTCCTGCTCACCTGTTTCCTCGCGATCAGCAAGTGCAACGTCCAAAATACAGTCGGTAAGTAGTTTCGCATTTTACAAAACGGAAATTCGCCCTCGTTTTCTAACTGTGACATAAATTGCTGTATTGTTTATACCAATTTTCTACACTCGTACAATCTGAAGTCAAGATCAAAGATCAATGTACTATTAATATATGCATACGAAGATTTCTTAGAAAAATTATTATTGCAATAAAGTACCAATAGTCACTATCTAATGACTATGATAATTATGGTATGAGCATTACATAGAATTTTGTTTGACATAAAAGAAATAGTAAAAAGAAGCCATTTAAAAAATAGAAAAAAAGATGAATTTTGATTTTTGATTGTAAGGTAGTGTACATATTTGGCTGTAATTTTTCGACTCGACGTTAAAACGACAATACTTTCTAGGAAAGAATGACACGGCAGCAGAAATAGCGCTGGGCGAGAAAAGACTTGGAGATCATATTCGTGCGATTTTGAAACACTATCAGCAAGATGATCCGATTGGGCTCCCTGGGGCGCCGGTACCGGATCCAATGTCAGTGCCGGATATGAAGCATTCGTTTTCTATGTATACCATGAATTTCAAGGAAGTGAATGTTTATGGTCTTTCCAAATTTCGAATAATGCACGTAGAGTCTGAACTGGCTCTCATGAGAGTAAGATTTTTCTTCGACATTCAGTGTTGAACGTAAAAAGTCATAAACGTGCAACTTATCTTCATTACCAACTAGCGGTATCAGTCTAGAGGTTTTCCTATTTAAAGAACACGCCCGCTATTCGTTAAAAAGATATGCATCACTTTGGCGCTAAAGAACGTCTGTCATTACAGAAAGAAAAAAAACACGGGCTAATTATACGATCGTAATGCGGAACGTTCCGCATCGATGACTAAGTGCATACTAAACGTTATCTAATTGAGTCACATCGAGAATCTCTGCCAAATTGGTTCGCATACGAATTATCCTACCGAGTAAAAAAGAGACCTGTATGTTTATGGCTGTGTCTAAAAAAAGAATTCATTTTCATTCTAACATTATATTTCTCGAAGGTTTCCGTGGCTTTGAGCATCGAAACATTGGATATTCGTGGACTGTACACCCTCTCCTCTTGGCTATCACGATCAGCCGGTAACTTTACCGTGAAATTGACGGGGGTGAATGTCCAAGGTATAGCCAGGCTCGAAGTTGGCGATGATGGTAAATTGCAGGCGCAAAATATCGACATGGATTTAACGTTTGCAAAGATAGACATGGACTTCAAGAATTTGGGCTTCTTGGGCTCTGTGTTTCAAGGAGTGATCAACTCCGTAGGCACCTTTATTTTTGATAGTATTAAACCTTTCATATTGAAAGAAGTGAATACTAACATACGGTAACGATCGACTGAGTATATGTATAATATTGTTAACGTGACACAGGTGAAAAAACTTCAAATATCTAATACTTTAGGGGTGAAGTTAACAAACAAATATCGCAACTGCCACAATACTTCCCGAATTCTATATCGCCCTTCGATATGGCTGTAGCCGAGGCTCGTAAACAGGTATCTCAAATGGGCTATGATCCGTTTAAGGTAAAGGAATACCGACAAAATGTTGGTATATTCACCGTGACGTCGTCTCACACTTGGATCACCGGTCTGGCGAGCTTTTACCGAATGGGAAATATCACGCTAAGCATGGAAAATAAAACAGTAAATAATTTACTATTACTCTTTTAAGAAGCTACGTTTCTCAATCGCACGATACCTGTCGTTACCATAATTACATCAGTAATTACGTCGTGTACATTGTAAATCGAAAACATGCTGATTAGTCAATTTTAATCGTGCCCCGTAATTGTCATGCCTGTTACATAATCTTATGGTAGGCGTCGATGCGTCTAAATACTAGCTCGTTGTTTCCTTTTAAAGGTGTACGCGACAATTGACGTTGGCACTCAAGAGATCGAAGGAAGGACTCACTGGGAAATAAGCGTGATCGGAGGTTTCTTATCAAGAGCTGGTACCGTTTCTTTCACCATACAATATTTCAGGGTACAAATAAAATTGAGTCAACCCTTGGACACTCGTAAAAAACCGAGTGCAGAAGAACTTGACCTTGAATTGGGTAATATTCAAGCAAGAGTTCATGGCGCCGGTACCATTGATTACTTGATGGAAGCTAGTGTTAATATATTGCCAAACCTTTTAAGGTTCGTTCTCAATGTTTGTTAGATTCCTACACTCAGAATCAATGTATTCGCGCATCGATCCATGATGTTATTCAAAAGAGATTAATTCTTAAATATAGGTATCAGATAATGGATGCAATAGAGGCTCCGCTCAAAAGGCGTATACAGACTGAACTGAACAAAGTGGACGTTGAGAAACTGATCTACGAAAAAATTCCTGACATAGAAGAGCAGGCTAGATATATTAAAGGAATGCTTCCTGCGGAAGAGACCATTCTAGAGGAGCTGATACCTCCTCCTGAGGATCAGGACGAGCAACCGTTTTCGGAGAGTGAAGAGAATCGAGGACCTTCGTAAAAAGTCGAATGTGTTGTAAGATGCAGGTATATGATTAAGTACATTATTTGGCATTTAAATTATTTATACTAAGCTCAAAGAAAGAGAATTTTCTATTGTTAAAAAGAATTTTACCAATTTTCTGTTGGTAAAATATATATGAAAAAATTCCTAACAGATCGTGATACGTGTACTGCGCAGCACCACTTTTCGTGCCTTGTAAATATTTTTACAATTTATCGAAATAAATTTTTTTAAATGTCCCTTCGTTGCAGGTTAATCTTTAACAAAACCTTTGTGCTTAACTTTTTACATTTATTGAAAAAAATTGATAAAAAGCACAATAGTGTACATATTAAGCCATAATTACAAGCAAAATAGTTGTAACAAAATTTTGGCAGGATACATACATAGTTAAACTACGAATCTTATAGTACAAGGCATCGTATTTTCAAATAAAAAATTATAATTTAATATCAGTACTATCAGACTCTAGTTACATTTGACAGCATTAATTACATGTTAAAAGACATGCACGCACGTCTTTACAAATTACTTTCTTAAGTATTATAAATTCTTTGGATGTGTTTGTCATATTATCTTAAATACATACCGAACGTAATGAGAAATTAAATAACGTAACAACGGTAAGTAACTAAATCATCAGTACAACGTGTTGTAACTAAAGTTAAACTGATGTAAACAATAAATTTTAAATACTCTAAGATGAACGATAGATATCTCTTTGAAAGAAAAGTGTATAATGTACTTCCGGCACAAGATTATTTCCTGTACCGGCTAAAGGAGAAATGACGGGTCGTTTGTAAATTATGCACTTTTGATCGCTGGCAAATTGCTTCGCTCGATTGGTATGATTCTTTCTCCCGGTGCTGGCATGGCAAGCCGTGGAGCTGTGATGGTAAGGACACCGTCCGATGACAAGCTAGGTTTCACGTGACCCATATCGTAGCCCTTTGGTAAGACGTATCGACGCACGAAATGTCTGGATACATAACCATGCTCGTCTTTCTTCTCTTCGTGTTTACCCTCGATGGTGATGCATTTATCGTCGGTACGAACTGTGATTTCTTCTGGTGCAAATTGTTGCACGTCGACGATAACTTGATATTTATTTTGATCACGCTCGACGGTGGTCGTACCTCCAACTTGTTGTTCTAGTTGTTCCATCATATTCTTCCACGGACGGAAGAATTCGTGGAAGGAAGGCATCGGTGGTGGTGATGGCCAGAGATCGTCTCTGGTGCTGAGACGTTTGAAGTGTTCTTCCAATTCACGGTGGTAACGGTCCATGTCTTCCCACCAGTTACGGAAAAGGTCTCTTGTTACCAGTGCCATGTCGGTATAATCGGTCTGTAACCAAATGGGTAATTTATAACGCGTGCCGGTAGAAGTCGTAATTTCTATAAGGATTAGAATAAAGGTTATGCTAGAAAAGGTAGAAGCAGAACGTTAAATCGATAAAAAATACAAAGAAGCATCGAAGTAAACACCGAATTTGTAACTGATCTTAACTTAGCATTGAATTTGTAATTGAACAAAAAAACATATTGATAATGATCAGCAACGTTTAGTACACGTTAGTAAACGTTAATCTTTCGTATTGTTTCATCAACACGTAACGTACTTTATCGAACAGATGTTTGATATTTATGTTGCGCAAAAACTACGTACTGGAAAACTTTTTACGTCGTCAATAAAATTGCACCTGAGTATTTTTACGCATTTCTGGCGTCTATTTTTGGATACACGAAGCACACTCGTAAAATATTATATTAACGTTGAGACGATATCTATATTTACGATACTCGCTATAAACTATAGAAACAAGTTTCAAATAAAATCAAAAAGCACAATTCGGTATAACAAAACAAGGAACAATAAAGAAGACGACGCAGAAACTTGTTCGAACACTGATAATTTTTCGTTGAGACCGAATAAAACAACAGTACACACGTACCTTTCGTTTAGGAGAATAAGAATCGATCGTTTCGTATAAATTCGTTCGATAATTGCCTTAGAAAGTTGCGCGAACTTGTCGCCTCGAGTTGCACTTTCTGTTTGACTGCGTAGTAACACGGCTCCCGGCTTTATATTTGATATGGCGCGCTTTTCGAGATTTTTCCAAGCGTACATGCGCAGAAGTGCAACGCGTCGAAACGTCTCGCGTTCGAAGCGAATAGAACTTTCATCCCTACTCGAATGTACTAGCAATCGTCTCCCGACGAATCAACGTGTTTCTTTAGCATCACGACGTCTCCTCGTTCGTTCGAGTAATTTCCCCCGATGCTTTTGGCGCGATTTAAAGTAACTCGTTTTCCCGAATGCTTTTCTATATCTTTTGATCTCGCGTAATATCAATGACGTGTACTTTTCATGTATGCAAATATATCTTCTTAATATTCCACGCCAGGCGTTACATAATACCACATTCATGAGAATTGTACTGGTATGTTTTCCATTATAATCAAATTGAAAAATATCTTCAAACGTTTCGTCTAAGAAAAGTAATTTTGATAGGTGAGGTAATTTTAGTAGGTAATGTAAATCCATGGATATTATTGTTCTAACGGAAACAGTCATCGGAGATAAATTCGAGATCGATGATACACCACGTAACATTTGTCATTCTAAAAATACTGTTTAGCGGGTGCTTTTAATTGATGACGAACGCATTTATTCTCGTACATTTCGGCATAGATGTCGATTTTGCGAAAGCGCAATAAGAAATTGAAGAATATACATATCCGGTGTCACAAGTAAAAGTATCGAGAAACAAATAGATATACATTAGTCGTTGTTTTATTTGTAATTCGATCTAAAGATGCGTCGTTCGAAAAATATTCGACTGTACGGTAGCGTTCTCTCTGTACACCTGCACGTACTCCATGCAATAGAAAAAATTACAAAATGGGTACAACAAGGTACAGTTCTCTACTATACCATAGGATGGTACAGGTGCGATGTTATTTTAGTTTCGCGCATGCGCGAAATTAATAAACGCGTGCATTTCGAACTCTTTCAACAAAATCACTCTTCCTGCGATAGAAATAAAAAGCAATTCGACTAATTTACCTTATAATATGAGAATACAATACACACCTTAAGAACTACGAAAGAAATAAAACGTAATAATTACAAAAACAAAAATTACAGGTTATTAAATATGTATATACACATATACTAAATATGAAAAATTAATTTTCTTTTATATTATACCCATTTCCCTTATTTTTTTACCATACCACCATATTTAAACACATTTACAGGAATGTTTCGATTGTACTATTATTATTACTACCGATGACAATTATCATACGGGAACTTGACGTGGATGCAACACTTTGTACGGATTGAGAATACCGTTTGGATCCATCATATTTTTCAATTGGTGCATAAGCTTGATCTCAGACGAAGTTCTGCTCATATGTAAATACTTGGTTTTCGTGAATCCTATACCGTGTTCGGCACTCACGCTACCACGAAGACCACAGATGTACTCGAAGATAAACGGTTCCAATTGCGCCGCGATTTCGCGCTCGTACTTCGGTATAGAGACTTGCACGTGAATATTTCCGTCACCTAAGAGAAGTAAGAAAGATGCAAGAATACGAGGAAACTTAAATTCCAAATAATCAATTGACAAAAATTTCATTCGACACGTTGAAAGATTATCGAAAGGATTATTCGATCGTACCAAGATGTCCGTAACCGCTGATTCGTAGAATCCGTGGATCACGCAATCGATCTCTAAGCACCTCGATCACACTGTAGAAAGAAGGAAGAGGTATGGAAATGTCGTATTTAAAAACGTAGCCCTCGTGTAATATTCCTTCGCTGATTCGTTCCCTCAGCGCCCATATATTCTACGCAAAAACAGAAACGATCATTCTTCCTTTTCTCCCTGTCGAAAATTTCAACTTTCGTCGAAGAAGATCCATCGAATCTTAAGATAGATCTAAACAGTCGACGAAAAGTTCAAAACTAACAAGCAACTAACTTTCACTTTCGCAGGATCGGAAGTCAGAGTGCCATCCTCGATCACGTCCTCAGCCATCGCTTTTTCCACGAAAGAACTGAGCTTCTCTTCGTCGTGATTCCCATTGCTACCAGAAGTCTCCATCAACACGTAAAAATCGTGTCCATCTATATTCGTGGTCAAGGGACTCTTCAGACCGAAGACGCTAGTCGAAATGTCCAACGAAAGTTTGTCCATCATTTCGAACGAAGACAGAATCTCTCCCAGCTCTCTCTTCGCTAATCGAAACGCTTTCAGCACTTTGTCGAAACTGCTCAGACCTACAAAGAACGGTGAATACATCCATGTAGAAAAGAAAAGAAATTTCTTAAAAAACAATCGATCATCTCCGATACCTAAGAACGCAACGTTGACGGCCTTAGGAAGCGGTGGACATTGAATCGCTACTTTGGTCACGATCCCAAGCGTTCCCTCCGATCCTATGAACAAATGCTTCAAATGGTAACCGGTGTTGTTCTTCTTCAACGCGTTCAAACAGTCCACAACGTCGCCGTTCGCTTTCACCTGGAATAAAGAAACACTTTCAACCTGTTATACCTACGTTGCAGGAGGGAAAATACGTCGCGGATGGTTTTACGGAAACTAACAGCCTCGAGACCCAGCACATTTCCATGAAGATTACCATACCGAAGCAGCCTCAGACCTCCCGCGTTCGTCGACACGCAACCACCGATCAAACAGCTACCCTTCGCGCCGAGATCAATCGGCATCATTAGGTCCACCGTCGCTAAATGATTCTCCAGCTCTTCGAGGACACAGCCAGCCTCGCAGGTTAACACACCTGACAAATAGGCAGGATAATGAGACAATGGCGGTTCGAGCTTGCCCCGGTGATTTCAAGGATCTCCCTTTCCCCCGGACATCTCCCGACCTTCACATTTCCAACCGGAAAATTCCAGTTTTCTCGCTTTCTCCGGAGGGGCTGTTACACCTATAGGTAGCACATTTTCGGCTCTCTACAAACCTGCCAATTCGTTCGTCTCGATGATTTTGTTCATCAGTTTCATGGAAACCACGATCTCGTCGAAAACGGGCACACTTCCGCCCACGAGACCTGTGTTTCCGCTTTGAGGACACACAGCTAGCCGATTATCGTTGCAATACTTCAATATACTAGAGACTTCGTCGGTGGTTTTCGGTTTCAGGACGACGTTGCTCTTTCCTGCAACCAATTCGCCCGAGTTTCGTCGATAATGTCGCGTGCCTTCTCCAAGTTCTTCGTCGATTTCTTTTCTCCGATTGAATTTGCGATATTTACTCAAATGAGATGGAGAAGACCGTAGGATAGAGTCGCGAGTAAAATTTGAACGGTGAAATTTTGGGAACGATCGACGAAGAGAGGTGACTTCGCTTACCTCTGACGATCTTCGAGTAATCTATATTGTAGCCCTCGCATTCGTCCACGTTCGTGATCACTCGATTCTGTCCGAGTAATTGGTCGAAGAAGGACAAGTGTTCCTGTGAAATTTTCGCGTACGGACCTCTTTCCACGTTGTACCTGTCCGACGTGAACTCCGGCTTCGCGGAGAAACACCGGAGACTCGAGGCGCGGTGGGCCGCGCGAAACAGCATCCGCAAAGCCATGCTCTCTGCAAAGAATTTCCCCGATCGATTCTGAGACTGTTAAACCGAACTATCCTCGATTTTCTTCTCGCTCTTTCCGGTAAAAATGCTTCTTCCTTCGTTATTACGCGCGCGTCGATCGATGCTCGATGTCAAACGTGTCTCCGGGAATCCCCCATGTTCAATTCTGATTCAAATTTCCCGCTAAATTTTAACCACGTGCTCGGTTGAATTTTTCTCGAAGAAAAAAAGACGCGCATATTTCGAAGATTTTGATTGTAAACATTGGCGAATGGAATCGGAGAAAGATTGTACGATTAATTGGGCGATCGATCGTTAAGAGCAAAGATTCTCGATTTGCGGTTGAACATTTCCAACGGAATTGCCACTTCTTAAACGCTCTCTGCCTCGATCGTACGAGTTTAGCGCGGTGGATATTTTCGTTCACCGCGGTCGGAGATCGCGGGAAGCGGCGACTAATTGAAACGCGATATTTACGTAACAGTGGGCGAAAATTAAACCGATGGAAATATTCGGGAAGGAGTCGAAAATCGTCTATTTGTCAATGTGCACGAATAGAACGAGTGATACAATCTCGCGTTAACTGAGACACTTCGTAAGTACTGTATCTGTTTCTTCAAGTAATTAAACTTAAACAATAAACTTTCATGTACATACGATTAATTCCCCCGTTGTATCTCGATCGTAATTCACGTCGAGAACGATATTTATCGAGGCGAGAGGTTGAAACGTTAATACGCGATGTTCTAGCAAACTACAAATCACGATACGTGTTGTTCGGTCGTTCGATCGGTGGACACTGGCATATTTTAACGATAGAAATCGATGTAACTCGAAGGTGTATCATTCGTCGAAAATTATTCTCCATGCAAATGAAGATTATAAACATATATATATATATATGTACAAGGTGGTTATTACAGCGTGAAAAAGAAGTGGCATGCTAATTCCCTGAGAATGATAAGCGTGTGCCTGCCTGCCTGCCTGCCTGCCTGCTGCGACGAGGAGGAAAGATTGAAGGGGGGCGAGGTTGTGGGGACAGGAACAAGGATGAAATTTCGTGACCGTCGAATGATCGTGGTGGCACGGTAAAAACCGAGGCGTGGCGTAATTACCAGCGCCCCCGGCTGCTTCCATTTTCTACACGCTAATTCGCCTCTGATGCCCGATCGACGGACATCGAATATTATAATCCACGATGAATCTTGATGGGCAACTCCCCTCCTCCTCACGCACTGCCCCCTCCCTCCGTACCCCACCCCACCGCTAACCCCGGGAACCTGGTGTCGTTCAAGAGGATTCGCGGCGATGCGTGGTAGAATTAATACAATCGTACGTCGCGGTGGGGAAAATAAGGTCAGGGGTAGAGGGGTCGAAAGAGCAAAGAGAGAGCACACGATGGATAAAGAGAACGATTGGAGAAACGGAGATGTCGGTACGACGGGGTAAGAGGAAAGAGGAGAACGCGAATGGAAAACAGAGAAGCGAACAAGAGATTGGAGTGGGAAGGGGACCAATCGTTGCAACGACTAAAACATGTTAGGTCGGTACGTGTTGGTACGTATAACTGATATTCGTGATGTACGCTACGTATGCGTATGTGTAGGAGAATTTCACGCGTTCACGCTCGTCTGTGTACGTACATAGGTTTGTACAGGTGTGCGAAACGAGGGGGACTAATACATAGTGCACTGGTTTCACCAACACAAAGAAACGAAAACGTGTATGTAAGCAAGGAGAGACGTCGTTGATATAGATGTGAGACGTGGCTATACGAAACTCGGGATACGTAGCCGCGAGTTTCTATGGTAGAACGCATGCGCGACACCGCCACGGAGTAAAGCTAATTTCTCAGTGGCGGCTCGAATCATTAACTTGTTACCTTGGCAACCCCGGTCGACCTAAACCATTGGCTGTCGCTTTCCCCCACTCTCCCCTCTGCACGCTCTATCGGTCGAACAACAAACTACGCACACCGTCGTCGCACACTCCTTCGCGGAATATCGTAATTTTCCTAACCTTGCCGCGAACAGGACTATAGACTGTCGCTGTTTCTCACTCGACGCACACAATCGTACGGTACGATATCTGAAGGTTGTGTGCGTGGCGACATGCCACCGTAGGGACGTGGTTGCTGGGATTGGCGCGGCCACGGGCTCTTCCTACCCTCCGCACGAAACATCCTACCGTCGTCTCTCGCTCTTTGTCGAAATCCGTGACCGGTATTGGAAGATGACCGATAAATCGCCTGCGTTTCGCGCCTCGTCATAGATCTTTTCTAACGTTCTCGTATCGAGCCTGCCGGTATTTCTCGAATCTTCATTATCGTTCTTCATCTGAGATATTGAGATATAAAGAGAAAAAAAAAGATAATACTTTTCCTTAATTAGAACGTAAGAAAACGTATCGAAGAATACATCGATGGGAAGTAGGTGATATTATAGGTGAGAAGCGTTGTATCGAAGTGGATCTATGGACAATGGTAATATAAATCTTCAATTTGTAATCGATACTAAGCAGGTATCATTACGCCATGATGCAGGATGTAGCGGTATGCCGTTCAAATCGTAGCTTCGGTAATTTAAACTGAACACGAAGAGCCTGAATACCAAAGGACGTTTTTTTTTATTTTTTATAAAAAAAATATGGAATGTTTTTTACGCATGGGTATCTGCCACACAAATGCTAAGAACCAATCGCGAACGAAATTGTATTACGGGGTTTTGAACAGGACAGTATAAGCTCAACTTAGAAACAGCTGTGCCAGGAACGTAGCGTATATTCGCGATATTGGGTGAAAGAGCGCCCAGAATATAAAAAATTTTTTAAAGATGATTGGTCGTGTAAATGTATTCATTTTTTAATGTGTTTGTATAAAGATCAGCATAGGATAAATATATGTACGTTTTGCTTTATGTTATTTGTACTATTTCTTGGTAGAGTTTCATTGGTTTTTAAACATGTTCACATTTTTATTAGTTCCACTGAATTACTACGATTAAACTTATCAGGAAGATGCTTGTATTTTGTTAAATTACAAACATATTTCCCTTATACACTTGTTTAGGATATCAGGTTCGATGATCTTACAGATACACTTCCAGTAAAAGGAAGATTAAAAAAATTGAAATATAAAAAAATAATATTACTTTTTGAATCATGTACACACCAAAATACATTAAATTATACTACGTTATCGTATTATGTTTATTTTTTTAAATATACTTTTACACAATAAGTAACATCTGACTTACGTAATTCGTGCTATAAATTAAAAAATAAAAAGACATTAGAAATTTTTGTTTTTTCTATAAAAATATCGATATAATAGAATCGTGTAGATATTTTTAACGTACGTATATTATTTATGAATATTTAGCGTTGCAATGCAGATAAGAATAAACAAGTAATAAATTCTAATAATGTTCTGAGATACAGCGGGGTAACGATACGACTACGTTCATTCCTGATGGTATCGTGAAGTTATACTGCGAAATATTCTGCAGACTATAATCACGTATACATGCATCGAACCCTGTGTAATGGTGTCAGTGGTGAGTGTACGAGTATGTGAAGTAAGAGTATGAGTACCGTTACGGGGCATGCGCCTGCAGCCACCATGTCCAATGGCCCCGCCTTTCACGGTGCAAACGATGCCTTTGGGATTTGTCCTCGCTGAACCAATGAGCGTACGAGTTTGTCGTACGGGACGGGAGAGGTGAGGTTAAAGGGAGCGAAATGGTGGGGATCAGACAGGAAGAAGGGCGGCAAGGGGAGGGAGAACTGAGAGAAGCGAGGGGTTCTGTATATCGTGTGGGAGCAGGGAAGCAGACAACGAATACGACTACGATTGCTTACGAAACCTCGCGACGTCAACGTATAACAAAACTTTGTTTAAAATACGTATAGTGCTTTTTAAAGACATATGAGAAACAAAAGTGTATGATTGAAAGTTTGATCGGACTTATAGTGAAATCGTGCAGTGACAGTGTCTACGGCGTGTTCGAAAACGTGATAGGTGTGACTGCGCAGTCGCCATGTGAGTACCTGAACAAGTATCCGACACTCCATATAATATCGTGTACCTTGGATGTTTTTTTAGTTTTCTTAGATCTGTATTACCGATACTTCAACGAGTTTTACGTTATATTCTACGTTAACGTTTCATGATTAACGACAAAGGCAACAAGTACACAACACACTTTGCATTATGTCCCGCCGGATCTTCGAACGTGCTTTATTTTGTAATCCAATATGTCGGCGTTAGGGACGCTGTTTGGAATTCATCGAGATACGCTTCCACCACTGTGCATATCGTAGCTTTTTCGTTAAATAACCATCGAACAGACAATTCACCAAGAACCGCGTGTGTTGTTATTATCATGGTCCTCGTTATTACCATTATGGCGAAATCCATGTTGTCAACCGCCCCCTGGTACGGTCGCTTCTCCCCTTCTCTTATTTTTCTTTCCCCCTTCCTCCTACCTCCCCCTTCAACCCGCCTTTCAATCGTATTTCCCGCTCAGAAAGATACGTTCCCTCTTTCTCTTTGAACCCCTCGTCCGCTACTAATTATGGTGGTGTGCTAGCAAGACGACATTTTGTTCCTTCTATCCAAAATTCAAGATGGATCACATGTTTTCAGTTCGTCGATACTTCGATGCTTAACGTGAATACAGATTTCTTCTTTACCGTTCGAGACGTGTACAATCTGTTTTTAGACATCGTTTGATATTTTTATATTTGTTGACATGTTATATATTTTCTTCTTGCTAGATTTATCAATGATCTGTATTTACACAGAAACAAGTTGCACAACATAAGAATAAGTAGACCTATGATATATTTTTATATCACAATGGTGTAACGAATATCATTATTAGCTATCAAATGTTCAAGTAGCAAATAATTACATGGAATGAGTAATACGTATTTTCTAATTACTACAATTCGTAAACATGTACGTTTACGTATTACGCTTGCGGAAGATTTTAAGAACAACAACTGTTAGGTTATGTGAACATCAACATTGATTCAAATTTTATTGTACTAGAATTTTTTATACTTATCTTTTTAAAAAGCAACAGATAACGATATTTCATAAAAACTATACGTAGCCTCGAAAAAAGTATAGAATTTTTTTTGGTAAGTGAAACGTTGTCATTATAACGTTGTTATGTCAATGATAATGAAAAAGTGAAAACAACATGCATATAGCGAAAAGGAAACTCATGCTGCAGGGCGGGATCGGCGTATGTTTTGAGGTTATTCATCATGCCTAAAATACTGAAGTTTATAAATGCATTAAATACACAATAAATATAATGAAATTTTCTATATATAGCAGATCACATATTTTGATACAGAAGCATCCCAAAGATTATATCCCGAATCTTCTATTCTTTAATCTGAATTTTGGGCGAAATAGACGAACGCAATGTTTTATTAATCTCTGCATTACTTGATTTTATAAATTAAATATAATAAACGGAAATTTTATAAATTTGTACTAGTTCTATTGAGTAATTACATATATTCTACGTTAATAATAAATAAAGAAATGTCTGCTTTCAGTTTTTTTTTATGCATAAATAGACAAAATGTTTGTACTCACCTATTAACCTTTTATACCTCAAATATGCAACAATCAATGATTTATCAATGAAAATAACTTACATTATTAATAAATATATGCTAGTTCTACCACTGTTGCACTTTATTGTTGATACTTTGCACAATAATGTACGAACAAAATGCGAACTTATAATTTCGGTATTCCACGTGTATCACAGTTGTTAAGGCTATGGGCAAAAAAATTACATAACCTTTTTCTGTATCCCCGAAATAAATATGCTGCGATTGGCGCTTAAATAAATTAACTGATAGCACACATTGGTATATAATTATTTTTCATTCTTGAGAATTTGAA